ACTTAGTTTTGCATATTAAACTGTGGCTTGGTGGTTTGTGGGAGGAACAAAGGGGTTGTATTGTAGTGATAAGGAGGTCATGAGTTCAACTTCTTCCTTACACTAGGAAAAAATAACAACTAACATTTACTTTTTTTTTTAACATAGTAATATAACGTTAGTTTTAGTCTAGCCTCAGGTGTGTGCTTCTGCATAATATCGTTAGAGTTAATTAAATTTAACTCATATTCTGTTAGATAGTTGCAACGGAATCTTACCACCCTATGCATTGTTTGCATAATTTAACACTAATGTAGTTATCTGCACCCTGTGCATTGTTAATCAGAAAATCATACGATCACATTTTAGGGAGGCCTCTCACCCTTTCTCTGCCTCAATTTTTCCTTTCAATTTCTATTGCTCTCTATTAGCTAGGAGGAGTATGCAGTATCTTATATTCGTCAACGATAGTAACACACATGGTGGATTTTGCTTTTGATTTCTTGTTTCTCTATGACCTTCCATTGCTTTTTATGAAGGACCTTATTGTTTTTCTGGGTTTGATGAGTACACATAGCAGTTCAGCGAGGGTACTGAATGTGTAAAATACAGATAGCATAATTTATGTAGCTGGGCGTCATGTATTTTAAGCCCTTGTGGCTGGAGCTATTCAAATTGTTCGAACATTTTATTTAATAAAAAGTGATATTAGGACACAATTCACTCGTGGTAGGTAGCTCTTGGAGGTTCTTTTTTGTTCTCCAATTATGGCTTGGAGGGGGTTTGCCAATACCAAAGGTTAATAAAATAATTAAGTTAACTTAGATATTCTCTTTTGCGCTCGACCTTGCAACAATGTTTTGTTTCTTGCTTCTCTAAAAGCTAATGTTGTCATCAATGAATATACAATATACTAAAGTGGATCTCTTGTTTCATGTTTCTGTACACTATTCATTGTAATTATACCTGTCCTGTATCCATTATTAAAAAAATCCTCTGCATTTAACATCCTTTGTAGTTTGAACAATTTTGTAGGTGGTGGTGGTCAGTGTATTCAGTCTCCTGTTTATTGGGAAGCTGCTTGAACCAAAATGGGGTTCCAGGGAATTCATCAAGTTCATATTTGTCGTTAATTTTTTAACTTCAGTGTGTGCATTCATCACTGCTATTGCATTTTACTACACTACAAGGCAGGAGGATTACCTGTAAGTACAGAAAGTCCATTACTATCTGAGACAATAGTTTCCATTCGCTGCTCGTGTTTTTTCTGTCGTATTTTTCTTTCGGTGTGTTAGATTTCCTCCTTTCATACACCCTGCATTGCAGTCTGCTTGATTGCTTATGATCTTTTAGCTTTTACATGTAAAAAGCTTTGAAACAATTTTCTAAGCACTTAAATACTTCACCAAACATTCCATACTACATGTTAAACTAGGACACTCCATAATACCTAAGTTCCTATCATTGAACTGCCCCATCATAGCTGCGTCCCTCTTATAAAAGATATCAAGGGAGAAGGACCAAGCCACTAAATACCAAGGTTGTTAAAATTTCGATCTAGATATTAAAATCTAACAATTATGGAAATATCTTCTTCATCAGATTCTCTGAAGATGTTCCATTTTCTTCTTTATCAGATTATCAAAGCCTGGTTGACGTTCCATTTTCTTCTTATTAGAGTAACTTCCTATCAGAGTTCTGCAGCATAGTGCTTAGCGTGAATGTTTGAACAAACTGTTCATCCAGATGTATTACTTTTGTTGCTAACGTTTCAGAGTCTTGTTCGTTATGATTCTCAGAGCCTTGCTTGATTTGAATCTCAGAGTCTTCTGAATCTTTTGCTTTATACTTTTACGCTCAGAGTAGGAATGGGAATGGGAATCTTCAAGATGCCTGCTTTGCAGATGCGGAAGCGAGATTTTCTGAAGCTGTGAAACTAGCTCTACTAAGTGTTAGCAGAACTCCTACTCTGTATTTGGAAAACACATCTGCAGAAGTTGTGTGTTCCGCATCTAAAGAAACTGCTGCACTTCAGTTTGGTGAAGTTCCTCAGACTGAAGAAGTTATCACAGAGGCTCCTATTACTGAAGAAATTCCTGCATCTGATAAGCCTTCTGCTATGGAGATAGAGAATGCATCTGCTTCAGTGGTTATTCAAGATTCAACAGATTTGAAGAAAGATTCTGAAGATGTGCAAGACAAGTTTGCTCAGCAAGAGGCTACCAACAGTGAAATAAAAGCATGGATGATCAAGCAAGAGAAGACTACATCAGAAATTAAGGAGTGGATGGTCAAACAGGAAGAATCCACTTCTGAGATCAAGATTTGGATGGGCAAACAAGAAGCTTCAACTTCTGAGATGACAGATCTTCTTAAGATTTTAGAATCTCGTTTAACTTAAATGTTTGTGTTAAGAATGTGGTTGGGCCTAACTCAACCCTACAAAACCGGTTGGTAGAGTGAGGATTGCCCCCACTTATAAACACATGTTCATGTCATATATTGTCCGATGTGGGACTCTTAACACACCCCCTCACGCTCAGGATTGGACAACTAAAGCGTGGAAATAAATGGTGGGTGGCCCGATAGCGGAAACCATAGAAGGTGGCCCACCGGATCTTAAACGAGGCTCTTGATACCATGTTAAGAATGTGGTTGGGCCTAACTCAACCCTACAAAACCGGTTGGTAGAGTGAGGATTGCCCCCACTTATAAACACATGTTCATGTCATATATTGTCCGATGTGGGACTCTTAACAGTTTGTTTGTGCACATCTATGAACTTGCTTGTTTTTACTTCTTTTCTGAATATATGAATACATCTGTGATTTTTTTTTTCTTACATCTGATTCTATCTTATTTCTTTGCTATTTTTCTTGCTCTGAAATTATTCTTTTGTCTTAAAAGTTTTTCTTAAATGATTCTTTTTGATATGACAAAAAGGGAGAGAAAATGGAAATTTTGATTGTTCATATAAACAGATACTGAATGGAAACTCATACATGTTAAAATCTAACTAATCATAAATTCAGTGTTTCAGAGTTAAAGTTTCTCATCTGAAAATATTTATAGAATTACCTCTGAACAAGATCTGAGATAATCCACAAGCTTGCTCTGACTCTGGAAAGAATACAAGTGCAAAAATGGAAGTTTTAATTTTTCTAGCAGTATTCATTTCAGGGGGAGAATCATATTTTCAGGGGGAGATATATATTTTTTTAATATTGAACAAAATTCCTTATAGTTTTTGTCATCATCAAAAAGGGGAGATTGTTAGAACACAGATTGGTTCTTAATATATCTCAATATTTTGATGATAACATTAATGAAATTTTGTATGGACAAAATATATACTCTAATTTTGTTCAAGTATTTTTGTTTCAGATATCCTAAGAAATATTCCTCTGAACGCAAAATATTCCTCTGATGGAATATTCTTCTGGACGTTAAGCTACAGAAGACTCTGAGCGAAGCTACAGAATACTCTGAATGAAGCTACAGAAGACTCTCAGCGTTATGACAAAAAACGAAGCAGGCTCTGAGCGTAAAAGTATAAAGCAAAAGATTCAGAAGACTCTGAGATTCAAATCAAGCAAGGCTCTGAGAATCATAACGAACATGACTCTGAAACGTTAGCAACAAAAGTAATACATCTGGATGAACAATCTGTTCAAACATTCACGCTAAACACTATGCTGCAGAACTCTGATAAGAAGAAAATGGAACGTCAACCAGGCTTTGATAATCTGATAAGAAGAAAATGGAACATCTTCAGAGAATCTGATGAAGAAGATATTTTCATATTCAATTATTCAAAAAGATGTTGTTCCAGAAAGAGCCGTTGCCAATTTCAATGTCTACATCCAACGGTATTATTCCTCTTTCGTGTATGGTACATAATGTCAGAACAAAAAGGATATCTCTGAACATTCCTATTTTGGAAAGAAGACAAAAAGGTAGTTGCACGATATTTGAGATATTGGAGTATTTAAACAACTCTTCAACAGCATTTCAACGTTAACAACTCTTGAACAAATTTCATTGAACAACTACAACAAACATACTAGAAAACTAAATAGTTTCATTCGTTATTATTTTGTGTAAAATTACTGTTGTGATAATAGCTTATCTTAGAAGCACTTAAACACATTATTGTATATCTTTGTAAAATATCTTTGAGAGACCAAGTTGTGGTCAGTATTCTTGAGAAGACTAAGACAGTTTGTCTTAGTGATAACACTGTAATCAGTTTTTGATTAGTGGATTAAGTCCTCGTTTGAGAGAGGCGAAATCACCTTGGCCGGGTGGACTGGAGTAGTTTGAGTTCAAACGAACTAGGATAAAAATAACTTGTTAAAATTTATTCTCTTATTTGTTTTTGAAACCCCTTATTCAACCCCCCTTCTAAGTGTTTTCCTACCTTCAATGTTATCTTCCATTAAATTATTTAACTTTATCTAAATTTTTATATAGTTCTCTATGTTATTGATAAAACAAAAAAGTTAAATGAATTATTAATTGTGAAGATTTATCTAAACTATTTTAAAAATATAAGGTATAAAGTTAAATCAATAATAATATTCCTTTAAACAAGACAAAATTAAAAGAATTGTCTTATTTTTAAAATTGAATTTCTTTTTGAACAATCAAACTTTTGATTAGTAGCTTATTAAAAAAACTCTTGATTAGTACAAAAATTATGAAGGTATAAAGTACTCTGATACAGACGCTGCCTGTAAGAAAATATAGCACAATGACAATTCACAAAATATATATATTAGGATTTCATATTCATATTCATTCATCAATCTCAATGTGTGTTACATCACCTCAAACTAAGCATTAATCGTTTACACAGAAAACAAAATTCACAAAATATAGTCTGACATTTTCATACCCTTATGATTATATCCACAAACTCAACAAATTTACACTCAATTCTTAGAAGGAATTCCTCTATCTTTATCTGCAAGAATGTACCTAATTGGTATACATTGAACTGGTTATCAATATCTACAATTCTAATTGCTCCCTAAGTGTCGCTTCTCGAAAGAAAAATCTTTTGAACCAGAGGTGATTTCATGTCTAATTCTAACCGGCAATTCGGTTGACGAAAATGAATCGACACTCGCTATTTGGATCTCATGTTGCCCTGTTTGATCGTTTCTTAGGGAAGTTGTTCCTTCTCCTTCAATATCCCATTGTTCATTTTTATAATCAGACTTTTTCGGAGAAGTTTGTAGACTGTCACTGTTTCCAGCAGTGTGTCTATGGAGCAGGTGAACAGGAGACATGGTGTGTGTCGGGGTTGATGGCCGGCTTGAATATGGTGTCGTGTTGTTTGAATGCTTGCTCTGTTTTACCTGCTTTTTGGCTGTGTGATGCCAGTTCTTTAGTGCTGTTGCCACTCTTTCGTTGAAAATGGTTGGTTTCATGGTTGATCCCATCTGTCATATCAGTCAAAACAGTATGAAATGAAATCAGTTCCTATCTATGCACTATGTAGTAAAAGAAAAGGAGGTTATTAACTTCAGTTCATAGTGTTAGATAGTTGTTTAAATTGCACTTTCATCTCGAGTTATTTTTAAATTTTACTTTGGTCTATTAAGTGTTTTTTGTTTGATTTTGGTCACTCAAGTTACAAATGTTAAACACTTTGGTCTTTTAAGTTTTTTTTTGGGTTTCATTTTGGTCCAATTATTACTAATGTTAGACATTTTGATACATGGCGTTACGTTAGACAACCCGATTCATCAAGAAAAAAGACGAAACATAAGAAATATTTGGCAGATTCAAACGGAAAACAAATTTACCGGTAAATGATCAAAGTGTCTAACGTTTGTAGTTCGTAACTTAAGTGAGTAAAATGAAAAAAAGGACTTAAAATACCAAAGTGAAACTTAAAAATAACTTAAGGGACAAAAATATGTAATGTAGCCCATAATATGTTATTTTCCAAACAGAAACACAAATATTTACTTAGTAAAACATGATTGGACATTTATGTAAAACTTTTTTTTATCTCAGTTGATTATCATTATACACATAGAAAGATGCTTAAATGAATTCTTTGGCCAATTAATTACCTGTGTGACTAAAGCATAAAGAGGCAAAGTCACATAGCTACATAGAATTTGTATTATTACCCTGCAAATTAAAATTTCCACTTCATAGTTAGTTTAATATATAAATGTTAATATCATTAGGTCCTCTTTTTGTTTCAGAAATGAACTTACCCTATGGTGATTCTAATGACAGAATCTGCAGTGGTTTTGTGGAAGCAAGAGGTTATGGAAAACTCATACTGAAACAGAAAACTTCTGGAAGAGTTAGTATTTTAAATTTGACTCTTAAAACTAACAAAACATATTAGTGTCTATTAAAAAAAAATATTTCATAGCATGTAATTAACATCTTTGAAGGTGTGCAATGCGGGCTAACGAACGCACATGACTCAAAATTTAACCGTGACTAAATAGAGCTTCATAAAATGTTTGTCACGGTTAAAACGTGGTTAAATAAAACTTCTTTTGTTTTGTCATGGTTAAACTGTGATTAATCTACACAGGGCTCTTAAAAACTTGAGACGGCTCTGATCAACATGATAGCACAAAGATAGATAAACTTACTGTACTCCAAGCAAAAAATGCAAGTTGAAACGCATTCTGCATCATAGAAGCAAACATAATTAGTCATAATGAATCATGATTTTATCATAGTGAATCAAGATTCATTGTAGTAAATCGAGATTTACTATAATGAATCGGGATTTAAGATGAGATTCAGGTACAAACACACACACACAAAGGATTTGTATAAACGATTCACATGTATTGTTAGATATTGATATCGCTCTGAAATCACCTGAAAGAGAACAAGATGAATCGTGAAGAGAAGAAGGCTAGGACGATTGAACCAGAAAAGGTGATCTCCAGGCTCAACTGTAGGTGCACCCTTGATTACTTCTCCTCTGTCTTGAATGCTTGATCCCATTTTTGTTATGATCATTTGTAACTTAGCACCAACTAATAAGATTACCTAAAAATTTTAAATTAGAACTTATTATTTGTTATTTATTCAACCCTTAATTAAGAAAGGAAATGTAGATTATGCTTACAATTAGTGGAAGAAATGGAAGCCAATAATAAGAATACCACCCTGTCCATAGAACAAATTTAAAAAATTATAATCAGCATAATAAACTAAAAAGTAGAACTTATATTATTTATCTTATTAAAATAGCTTATTACCATTAGTATTAGTAAGAAGGAAAAGCACTGTGAAGAGCCAGATAGTTGGACTGCAAGTTACAAAATTAAAAAACTATTAAGCTTAAGTTGATAAACAACTTATTGAAAAAAAAAAAATAGATAGTATATTATTTGATCATAAATCATACCTTATTCCTACTACAACTTTAAAATCCTCTTCAATTGATCTACTTATATACTTTTGGAAATCAAATTGTGCTTCATGTACTGGGGCAAGATGAGCCTGAAATTAAACATAAGGTCTTATATTTTAATATATGTTCTATTAACAAAAATGTGTCAACAAATCCAATATATAATTTAAATATAATAAAAGATAAACTCACCATGATAAATCCATGCCTTAGAGCCATATAATCAACTCTACTGATAGATCCAAAGAATTGTCTGAAGAAACTAACCTGATTAAACCATAATATATGTCACTAATAACGTAGTTAATTTTTTGTATTTATCTTAATCATTTAATTAATGTGTATGATTAATTTTATGTTAACCAAAATTTCCTTACAATCCATAATAAAATAGGTGACCGAGTCCACATGCTCAAGTGCCTTCTTCCAAATGTTGTGTCCCTTGCAAACCTAAACCTCTCAGGATCTGCACATAAAAATATAACCATAAAATAAAAATATTAGAATATTAAAATCACACAAATTTATCTTTTTTGTTTTTTTCACATGTTTAGTTTTTTAAGAATTTTTCACCATAATACCCATATTTCACCCTATTATTTATCATTATACCCACCCTTTTAAATTAATTTCTATTCTATCCACATTTGAAACAAAATTTTTTTTTCTTATAATGGGGGCACAATCTCCTATAGAGTCACCCTTATAATCATAAGAGGGGCGTCATCCATGATGGAGTCACCTTTATAATTATAAGGGGGGCGCCATCCATGATGGAGTCACCTTTAAACGAATTTTTTAAAGTTTAATAAATAATATGTTAAATAATATTTATTAAATAATATTTAATAAATAAAATATCTAAAAAAAATTAAATAAATATTAAAAATTAAATTGTATTTAATAAATATACGGCGGGAGTGAGTGCGAATTAAAAGTATTGAAAGACTTGTTTCGTACTTCTCGATTGTAGATGAAAATATACGGCGGAAGTGAGTGCAAATTAAAGATGACAACGAAGTTAGGTCTATGATGTTCGGAACTGATGATATTACTTTGATTGTTGTTATATCTTAGTTTATATTGTAATAATCGTTATATTTTTAATGATTCGAATGATCCAATTTCTTGAAGACGATCCATTGGATTTGACTCCACCACAAAGACCACGAAGAAACGTGCGTACTAGAAGATGCGGTACATTTACCTCGACCTAGTCGTAGAAATTAGTATACCATATATATACTCATTTGTTTTTAAATAAAAATATTAATTATTATTTAATATATTATTTATTAAATAAAATTTAATTTTTAATTTTTATTTAATTTTTTAAAAATATTTTATTTATTAAATATTATTTAATTATTAAATATTATTTAATATATTATTTATTAAAATAATTTTAAAAATTTCGTTTAAAGGTGACTTCATCATGGATGACGCCCCTTATAATTATAAGGGTGACTCCATAGGGGATGACGTCCCTTTATAAGAAATTTTTTTTATGTTTGAAATATGAGTAGAATGAAAATTAATTTGAAAAGGTGGGTATAATGATAAATAATAGGGTGAAATATGGGTATTAGGTGAAAAATTCGTTTTTTCAACCTTAGTTTTTATTATTAATGAGTACAAGTCAAAAGTTTATCAGCATTTGAAATTGTTCTAGAAAATAAAGAAATTTGCCTATGATTTGACTATAGATATAGTGATTTAGTTGTACTTTTCATAGTACAAACTTTTCATCACCATATTATATATATAAACGCAAAGTAATATGTCATCATTGACTTCTTTTTTGTATTGTTTATAATATAAGCTTTTGTCTAGTTGCTTTCAAAGTAATATGTCATCATTGACTTTTTTTTTTTTTTGCATGTGGGCGATACACAATTATTTTAATTAATTAACATAATTAAAATAATAATTGGAGCTAAGAAATTTTGAAATGTTACCATTATAAAATTGATATTCAACTGTTCTTGTCTCATCTTCCCAAGTCTTCCATTTCCTCATCTGAAGAAAATAGTTATTTTAGATAGAAAAAAAAAACAAAGGAGAGTCTTGTACGTAATAAAAACTTTATAATAAAAAAAATCTTTTATGAGTTAGAAAAATAAATGCATGGAAATATATACCTTGATTCTTCCCAAAGTTAATGTTATTATACATTGAAGGATATGAAATAGTGCCAGCACAAAAATGAATATATGGAGTTGGTGAATTCCATATGCAGAAACTAAAGCAACTTGACCCTACAAAATGGAATGAAAATGAAAGAAATGTGATTATAAGATAAATAATGACCACAATACGCAGCGTAACAAGTGCAATATTTACAATGCAACAACCTTAATGCATTGTCTCGATTTAAAACCCTAGTTGCTGCGTTGCAGTTTCAACAACATTAAAAACTGTTATGTCACGACTAGATTGAAATCGCAGTCTTACCTTATCAAAACATTTATCATATCCTTTTGTAGCAAGAATTCTCCGAGGTATAGGATCGAAATACTCCAAGAGTTTTCTATCATTGGTTTCATAGTCAAATGATTCATCAGATTTAGTTTCAGACTTTGTCTTTGGAGTGGAACAAGGATGCCAAGTTGATCCAATTTTTTGTGATACACATATTTCAGAAATATTATCTTGGAACACAGTTAGAAGCAAGGATATGAATCCTAGTAGCATAAGCTCTGAAACATAACAAAACATAACAAATAATTATTATATACTCCAAAGTCCATACATTAAAATGGAAAATTTAACAAGGATTACACAAATACCTCCTTTGATCTTTTCCAAAGCTTCATAAAGAGCATTTTTGTTTTTCTTCTTCAACCACTACAATTAGAACAAAACCGTTAGAACATGTGATCAACATCTGACACCGATATAACACGACACCAACATATTCATTTAAGATTGATATCGAGTCGTCAGTGCGATGTCCGTGTCTGTATCTTTATATATTTGTTCATAGTTGAGATCGTTTTTGTACAAAATGAACTGTGCTTAGCTTACCTTTCCAATAACATGAATAATATGTTCAATTAAGATTGAAACAGCAAGTAACACAAGACACACAACTGCAACAGCCCAAGTTGGTGTTTCTTCCAAAGTTCGTTCTTTAACTCCCCCTTCAGCCATTTTTTTTTCTTTCTTTTTGACTTGTTGTAAATTGAAAAGGTTCCTTAGAGATCTATACAAAAAGATTATGTAGTTTTTTTTTCTTTTTTTTTCTTTGTGGAGAATTATATTAAGGAAATTGAAGGGTGTGATTCTTGATTATCATGCTTTGGTTATATATATACATATACATGTGTGTGCAAGATCATGGAAGACTTGGCATGGATTAGAGAGGAAGTTGCCAACTTGACATATTCATTAAGATGAATGGTTGGTCAAACAATAACACTGCCACATGAGAATCTATGCTGCTTGCGTGGACATCTACAAAACAAGATTAGAGAGAAACCCATTTTTTTAAACTACAATGATGAGACTGTTTCTTCCCCTTTCTATATTTCAAATAGTTGTTTTCAAACTTATTTATTTTGGAAGTGTGAAATTCAAATAAGAGAAAAATACCCCGAAGAATTTTCAACCATCTTTCATTTTCAAACTTGAATTTTAACACAAGACCTAGTGAAAGAAACATGTATCACCTTATTCAAACGGTTTCAATTATGTTTATATTGTAAGACATATTCTCATTATCTTTGTTGAAGTGTGAATCACTAATAGTTCACTTAGTTGGTTGTTACAGACTAAGTAATTTTGATAGATTGCCAACTAACTATCCAATAAATAAAGTGGTATTAGCATAACCGATTATTAAAGAGTGTAAGGTGGGCTACTACATATGTAGTATAGGGTCTAAAATTTTGTGTCTACACACTTGTCACTGTTGAATAGCATTACCGAGGCTTTATTATATTGTGAGATTTACAAAACTTATCGCATTAATTGTATGCTAGGGTATGCAATGCAACTTATCCTATTAATTACATAAAGTTGTTCTCGTTAGATTTGAAACAATATGCAACATAGCTTGGTTATCACAAATAAGTGTCATCGGTCTTATTTTTTTAATTTGAAGTTCTTTGAACAGTTGCTTCTACCAAATGAGCTCACATGTTATTAGTGCCATAACCACATATCCTGCCTCAACGAAGGATTTTGAAACTAAATTTTATTTTTTACTTTTTAGGATATCATGTTTCCTTCAACAAGTACACAATACTCAAAGGTGGATTGTTTATTATTGGACGAGGCTGTCCAATTAGCATCAGAATATCTAACTATATGAATATGTCTTTTATCATCATAAATGAGACATTTTTCTAGAGCACATTTAATGTTTCTTAGAATTCGGATAACAACGTTCTTGTATTCTTGGCAAGGAGAATTTAAGAACTGCCTTACCACAATCATTGTAAAAGAAATGTTCGGCCGTGTGTTTGTGAGATGATTTAACTTTTCAACCAATCTCTTATACCTAACTGAGTCAGATAGAGACTCTTCCTGATTTGGTAGGAGTTTAACTCTTGGATTCATAGGAGTATCAGTTGATTTAACGTTCAACAAACCTGTTTCTTTCAAAATATCCATAGCATATTTCTACTGGAAAATTACCAGACCGTCTTTAGATTGGGCTACCTTAATATAAAAAAATAACAGAGTTTATCAAGGTCTTTCCTCAATCTTTTAAGTATCCAAAGTCTGTCGGAGAGTCTTCTTTCGACATAGCGCCGAATAACCTCTTAGGTTTATTCCTGAGACTTTTTCAATTCATTTATCAAGATATCACCTTGAGATTTATCAGACTAACACCTTAAGATATCAGTCGAGGTCATCTCGTCGACGTGCCAACACTGTCAACTCATGTTCATCATTTGTTGCACTTAGCATTTCACCATGTGCAAACATTGACATGATTTTCCTTGGTCAGAAAATCCCAGGTCAACAATGAGTAACTTCTACAACTGAGATATAAGGGGACAAAAGAAACGAAGCAGAACTAGGTTCTAGGTTATGAAGAACACAAACGTTGCAATTTAAGGGGTAGATTTAACCATTTAATAATAATGAATAAATGCATGTCAAATAATGGTTAGGGATGACAACAAAATTTGTACCCGCAGATATCCGCGAATAAAAATCTGTAACGGATATGGGGCAAGTAGCTTAATGGATATTCACCGATAAAATAAATAAATATTTAAATACCTGTTTGTTATTGGATATGGATATGAGTTTAATAACATCAGTGTCCACATATATTCATATCCTTAATAAATTATAAAAATTATTTAAATATCATTAGTTTAATATACCTTATTTTTTCATCTTTTTAAAATTTTCTTTGAAGAAAACCTTTCAGATTTCATTCAAATTCTATTAGCCAATTCATATTTAAACTCTTCAATACTACATTCCTCACTTCAACAATTTCACAGTTTAATAAACTAGTCTCATCATTTCTCTGTCGAACCAATGTCTCACTTCCCACTTTTCTGTTGTCCGCTCTTCAATTATATATATATATATATATATATATATATATATATATATATATATATATATATATATATATATATATATATATATATATATATATATATATATATATATATATATATATATATATAATGTTTGGATCAAATTATGTTTTGGTGAATAAGAAGAAAATTAATGTGATGAAATTTTATTGTTAAATTAAGAGCGAATTGTATGGATGTTATGTGATAATAACGTCTTTAAAAGAAGTTAAAAATATTTTTTTTAAATAATATCTTTTATAAAAATTTTAAGGTTAAATATACAACACCTGTTTGCAATGATAGAGAGTTTTGGTTTATCCCATGTAAAAGATTTTTTTTTAAATTCTCCCTTGTAATACGAAGATTCCCTCACTATGACCCTTGAATGCACTATTTGCTGACATGATGTGTATAAGCGTCATTTAATTTAATTTATTTATTTTTTTTAAAAATCCACGTCTGCAAATAATAAAAAATAATTTAAAAAATTTCAAGTGGCATTTTCTTTATAAATTTTTTTCATTTACATTTTTTTAAAAAAATTTTTTAGATTTTTTTTAAAAACAAAATTAATTTTTTTTTTATTACGAGGGGGTAAATAAAAAATAATTCATATTACAGGGGTAAAATATATCTTTGTTATTTTTAATGTTTTTTTAATTGTTATCATTTTAGTATTCACACAACACTTGTAACATCAAAATGAAAAATAAGAGATCAATGAAAAAAGTTTTGATATGCTGCATATGAAATACTTTGTCTCCATGATCTATGCAATATAAATATAATACTTTATTTTATAAGGTTTTTATTTTACAAACACTTTGTAAAATAAAAACCTGAAATCAAGAAATGAAGGGATTGCTAAAAAGATACAATTAAAGAGATAATTTAAGGTTGCAGGTCTCAGAAATTTGAGGATCCTGCTGAAGGGGAACCTGCTTTGGTTGTCAAATTTACTCAGCTACATGAGGACCTGATTGACGGTTTCCACAACCTTAAGGATGAAACCCGATAATTGAAGAGAGAATTTAATATTGCAAGTTTGCTCAAGTATTGTGTTATTCATGTAGTAAGAGGCAATCTAGTATCCTGTGGTAGCTATGAGCTTATTCTATCTTATATCCCTTTACATTCATGTATGATTTGGTTTCAATGGGCCAAAGTCAATTGGTTGGTGGATGGAGATAGAAATATCAAGTTATATCACACTAGAATTGTGCAGAGAAGATGCAGAAAATCCATCAACATGCTTAAAGACAACAACAATACTTGGGATGATTACAGAGAAGTTACAAAAACCATGCTTCAAAACTATTTAAAAAACCTCTTCACTTCTAAGATTGACACTGCTGAATGGTTTCATACCCAATATATATATATATATATATATATATATATATATATATATATATATATATATATATATATATATATATATATATATATATATATATATATATATATATATATATATATATATATATATATATATATATATATATATATATATATATATATATATATATATATATATATATATATATATATATATATATATATATATATATATATATATATATATATATATATATATATATATATATATATATATATATATATATATATATATATATATATATATATATATATATATATATATATATATATAATGTTTGGATCTAATTATATTTTGCTGAATAAAAAGAAAATTAATGTGATGATATTTTATTGTTAAATTAAGAGCGAATTGTATGGATGTTATGTGATAATAATGTTTTTAAAAGAAGTTAAAAATATTTTTTATAAAAATTTTAAGGTTAAATATACAACACCTGTTTGTAATGTTGAGTTTTGGTTTATCCCATGTAAAAGATTTTTTTTTTAAATTCTCCCTTGTAATACGAAGATTTTCTCACTATGACCCTTGAATGCAATATTTGCTGACATGACGTGTATAAGTGTAATTTAATTTAATATATTATTATTTTTTTAAAATCCACGTCAGCAAATAATAAAAAATAATTTAAAAATTTTCAAGTGGCATTTTCTTTATAAATTTTTTTCATTTACAATTTTTTTTTAAAAAAAAATTTAGATTTTTTTTTTAAAAACAAATTTAATTTTTTTTATTACGAGGGGTAAATAAAAAATCATTCATATTACAGGGGTAAAATATATCTTTGTTGTTTTTAATGTTCTTTTAATTGTTATCATTGTAGTATTCACACAACATTGTAACATCAAAATGAAAAATAAGAGATCAATGAAAAAAGTTTTGATATGCTGCATATGAAATACTTTGTCTCCATGATCTATGCAATATAAATATAATATTTTATTTTACAAGGTTTTTATTTTACAAACACCTTGTAAAATAAAAACCTGAAATCAAGAAATGAAGGGATTGCTTAAAAGACACAATTAAAGAGATAATTTAAGGTTGCAGGTCTCAGAAATTTGAGGATCCCGCTGAAGGAACCTGCTTTGGTTGCCAAATTTACTCAGCTACATGAGGACCTGATTGACGGTTTCCGTAACCTTAAAGATGAAACCTGATAATTGAAGAGAGAATTTAATATTGCAAGTTTGCTCAAGTATTGT